TTATCTTTTTATATTAAGTATAAAGGGAAATTTACCGGTTCTTTTTGAAAAAAAAATAAAAAATAAAAAACAAACCATAATTTACATTAAAATTTCATCTTGATCAACGTATTTCAGCATATATCTGTTTTTATGCCTACATGTAAACATCAATTCATTTCTCTTGTTTAATAAGCTAGTGTTATTTAAGTGTTTTAAGATAACTATTTTTTTCAGCAAAGCATAAATTACAGCTCTCGTCTTTCTCATTGTAAGATTTGGCTCTTGCTACAATATCACACGTAATAATAGGTGTATTACCACGATTCTTTAATTGACAAAAAGGTTTTGAGAGCGCAGTGTTGTTTATGTATTTTATATTGCTTAAAGTTATTCGATGATGGTAGAAACAAAATTTCTAAGGATTTTCAGTGGACCCAAAATAAAATTTCATATCTTTATCGCACGATATACAATATTATCAGTTATACATTGACCCTTTAAGGGACAGATCTTATTTTTTCGGCAGTTGCATTTGTTTTTAGAAAGATTTACATTGTCTTTTTGGAAAATACATTTGTTTAATATAATGTTGTTATGTTGAGATATAGATTTATCGATGTTGATATAGCCGATCTTAACATTATTTTTATTAAAAAACTTTTTTTAATGTTGGTGAATGGTTAACGTGTTTATGAATTAAATTTAGGAAAATTCTTCCGCTATTCATTTGAACATTACGATTAAAAAGTGGATTAAACCTAATAATGTTATGTTTACAGTGTTTTTGTTTATTTATACTTTTTTTGTCATTTTCTAAATTGACTTTATGGTTGCTTAGTTCTAAAGCTTTTAGATATTTAATTTTATTATTATCAAATATTTCCTTATTGTTGCAGTTAGTAGATAATCTAACTTGGACTGACATGTAAATTATCTGTCATCTCTATAGAGTCCGGTGTCCTTAATGTCGAAAATAAATCTTAGTCGCCACAATAACAAGGTTCAAACAATTTCACATGCCGCACAGAATCATATGCTCCGATAGCAATGCTAAATTTTGTGTTATTTCTTTTGGTCCACAGATAACCATTACGGAATAATATAATTTTTTGTTCCTGCTTTATGATTTTGATTTGCAGATTCTCGGTGATAGACGAGTAAAAGTCACAAATCTCGAATTGGATGAACGGACATTCTTTCTTCCTTTTTATATTAGTAAACCAATCTATGACTTCTGCTGAGCATTTTTCCTATATTTGCCTGGTCTTTCAAGGACGCTTTGGCTGATTTTACCGCTATTACTTTTAGTTGGTTTCAGTAATTGAGGTTCTTAGGAAATTTGATTTGTAGTCTTTAACTGTGATGAATGCATGTTGTTTTTGGAAATTTTATATCCTGTCATCAATTTTTAATTCAGTGGCTATTTTCTTGGCTTCACTATGTTTATTTTTTATTTTAAAAAAATAAAGAACCAGTAATCCCCTTTAAACAATTTAAAAATTAATATTCACAACTCAAAAGTATTTTATATATATATATATATATATATATATATATATATATATATATATATATATATATATATACCTTTTATATATTATATATATATATATATATATATATATATATATATATATATATATATATAAAAACATGGAGTAATGGATAGCGGCTTGGATTGAGGAATCGGAGAGCCAGTCGAATCCATTACATTCACTTACGTTTGCTAATACCCTTGGAAAAGGTGTGAATCCTCTTCTTCTCCCTCCATGGGTAAATAGCAGGACAGACTGGGCTCTATAGCCTTGGATGGCAACTGGTCTAGGAGAAGGACAACTCTGAATTCAAAACCTGTGGAGGGTCGTTTGGGAACCTTCTGGCACTCGGTGCACCAGGTCTCTGTATTCGTCCCTTCAAAATGTGTGGATGGTCCTGCACGAAGCCTTCACCACTATAATCAAATCTCATGTGCAGGTGTCGGGCTGTCGGTTTCCTGGAAACTGATCTGCTTGACCCTCATATGTCGAATTCGATGGGAGAGTCGACTATATATATATATATATGTATATATAGGCAACAATCATTCTTTTATGCATGTTTTTCTTAAATTTGACGTACAAGGAATATCTTGTAAGTTTCCTATTCAGGTTTTACTGTGTCCTTGCAATTTTTCGCATGTTTGAAGGTATTATAAGGACGCCCAATGAAAAGCAAATTAGATTTTTTTGATATACCCTTTTTTTTTAACAGGGCCAGAAGTCTTATCTGTGCTCGGAAACTAAGGAGAAATGCTACTTCTGAGTAAATCCCCAACATACCGCTCACACAACACAATGTAGGAAAAAATGTACTAACAAACCTCATTATCACGAAAATTAACACCATAGCTAAAGTATTAATCGAAAGCGTTCTGGACAATAAACGCTACGAAAGAATTCTCCACGAGCTTAATCTTCAAAAAAAAAAGAATTTAGGAACACAATACATATATATAGATAGATAGATAGAGAGATAGATATAGATATATATTTGAGTAGACGCCCTGTTTATTTATTAAACGGTATATTTATTTATTTTCGTATACCTGCCTGAATATTCGAGAAATCTTATTAGATAAAAATATGCGCTGTCCGGTAGGATTTGAACCTGTTGGAAGGTGCATATTTTTCTTTAATAAGGTTTCTCGGATATTTAGGCCGGTAGACGAAAATGAATAAATATACTGTTTGTTAAATAAACGGAGCCTGTATTCAAATAAGGGTATGCAATAAATTTGAATGATAAATAAAAAGAATCCATCACTTTCTTTTAAATATATATATATGTATATATATATATATATATATATTAAAGAAAAACAAACTACTTTAAGGAGAAATAATGGAACCTTAAAGTGGTCTGTTTTTCTTTAAAATATTAGCGCTGGATTTACATTGAGCTCTCAGGATTTCATCCTCCTTGGGATTACCCCTACAGATTACCAAGTTTTTCATAACTTAACTATATATATATATATATGTATGTATGTGTGTGTGTGTGTGTGTGTGTGTGTGTGTGTGTGTGTGTGTGTGTGTGTGTGTGTGTGTGTGTGTGTGTGTGTGTGTGTGTAATATTTTAAAAACAAATAGAACATCTCTTGACTGTGAAATTCTCTTTAGCCAAGCGATCAAAGCACACGGGATCAGACAGTAGTTCTGGAACGAAATATGCAGGTTCAAATCTGCATTCTGATGAGGAATAAAAGCGTTCTTTACATAACAAATATTTTTCGGTATGATCTACTTCCTTGTCAATGCACTTAATTAAGTGATGAATATTAATGACACGAATCGAACATTATACAGTAAAAATCCCAGGTTAAAATATCAGCTAGTGTGTCAGGTTACAGATCCACCCTCATCCACGTGATGTTAAGGAACGTCAGAGCCTTTCAATGATGAGTTTGCTTAAACAAGGCGTTGGTCGCGTATACATTTATTAGTTTTTTACACGACATAGCCTTAAAGACTGATGCTACAGCAAATAATAACTAGAAAACCTAAATTGTATCTCTAACTGGTGAGTCACGCTGATTACAAACACAACAAATGTCGTATCATAAACGCTGAGGACAAGTGATATTTATTTTTCAAGCTGAAGAATTCATTTGCCGACTAAAAGTTCTTATAAGTCTTCTTGACTGACGTACAAGAAAGTTCTCCATGAACAAAAAAGGTCTCACAGAAAAAACAAATGAACGCAAATTGGTGTATCATATTACTAAGTAAACTGGAATCTTTCATAGAAGGCCGAAGAATAAACCAGTCTGCAATGGTGCGATAAAAAGCAACAGAAAGACAAAGACACTAGCATTAAATTGATTAGAAACTTCCCCGTGTCGCCCTTTGTACAATGTTAGGGAAATCTTAGAAGTTTCTTGGAATCTTACTCATTAATCAGTCAAATATAATCCGTTGGCTGCAAAGTCGTAACAAGTAAGAACTAAGACAATGAGGTTTACATGAATTTATAGAAACGAGTTTGAAACATTTGAATGCTTTTCGCATCTTGCGTGGGCGATGATGGCTCTCCACAACTTCTTATCATTTTGGAGTCAGTCTATATTTCTGAGATGAGGTATTATGTACATTATTTACATTATTCGGACTATTGTCCTCATCTTTGTCGCCATATTTATCACAACGTTTCGGCCGTTGTACGCTCCGGCCTTCTTAAGGTGGTTGAAATGTCGAACTGAACCCTTTATTTCGCTCACTGGGGTAGACTGTTCTAGTTTATGTTTGATGGACGTCAATTATCACTTATCTCCTGTTAATATAGGACATATGGCACAGTGGATAAAGGCGTTGGTTAGATCCAGTGACAGGACCCAAAGAGTGTGAGTTCAATACCCGGTTAAGGCAGTGGAGAACTTTCAGAGGGAAATTAGCAGGAGATAACTGATAACTGACATCCATCAAACATGGCACGTGGAACTAGAACAGTCTACCCCAGTGAGCGAAATAAAGGGTTCAGTTCGACATTTCAACCACCTTAAGAAGGCCGGAGCGTACAACGGCCGAAACGTTGTGATAAATATGGCGACAAAGATGAGGACAATAGTCCGAATAATGTAAATAATGTTTTTATCATTTGTATCTCTATGCAATGTTCTTTAACATACCTCTCAATCTTTGGTCTGCCACCTATTTACACAAGCTTGTTAGACAAGTTATTCCATATTTCCCTAAGCCTCTATCGCCTTCTAAATGCCTTATTAGCGTTACATTCGCCAAACCCTCTTTCTCTGTTATATATCCCAGAAATGCCAATTGTCTGTCTCGTTATGTGTCTAAGTTTCCTTCTTGTTCCTATGTTCTTTAATACATCCTCATTGTTCACATGATCCATTGATGGTATTCTCAGCATCCATCTGTAGACCATTTTTCTACTGCCTCATGACATCTCTTCTCCTTGTAAAGAAATCGTCCGGCCATTCACTGACATATAGGATTAATAATACATATCAGTTCAGCGGCTTACGGCCGTATCACATAGAAACACCGGTTCCCACCTGATGACCGAAGTTAAAGCAAAGTCGAGCCTGATCAGTACCTAAATGAGTGACCGCTTGGGAATACCAGTTGCTGCAAGATTTGGATGTGTGGATGGTTCAATAAATAACACCTCGTAAAGAGAAACCGGAGAACCGAGTTCGAATTCTACTCGGGTTGTTACATTCACTTACACACAAATACCCTAATCCACTTCTTCCCCTAGTGTTGTGGAGTGATTTCGCAGTGGAGGCTTGTATTTATACTAAATTGGTCTTAGATAGGTTCGACATACAAAACGTTAGGAATTTGATATAATAGGTATTACGCAGAGTAATCTTGTTGTGGTCGCTGATACTTTCGTATTCGACTAACTGTCGTCCAACATCGACGCTCTTTAGTAACTGCCCAACGCAGTTACATTTGGCACAAGGCCGAATTTAATGTGGGGTTCCCGAGACCGTAGGCTCGGCCAAAAAATCCCCGTAGACCCCGCATAAACGGGATCGGGTCTGTCTACCTCCCCGGACGAAACTCTGCCCTTCGGCATAACCTCGTCCGGGTTCCTCTCTGCAGAGAGTTCGACTGTCGTCCGACATCGACTGACCCTCGTTTCTCTTACTACTCCTACTTATATTAGGTGGGAGAGTCTATTAAATATAGAATAGGTGTGTTTCACCTTATCACCTAGCTATGGGTTAAATAGTAGGACTTGTATTATCTAAAAAAAAATCTTAATACTATATTCTATTGCAGAAGCAAAAGAAAATAATTCTTATAATCTAAAAATAAGTTTCGGCTTTAAATAACCTGCCGTAAAAAAAAAAAACAAATTAATCGATCATAGTAGTTCAGCATTATTTTCTTCTCTTTTGTTGCTCGAAATAACTTTTAACTCCTTATTCCTGTTCTGCCATGTATTTACATGAACTTGTTTCGTACATAACTAGCTGCTTCTCTATGCTTCTTTATTCTGTCCTGTGAGTAATAAATCTGCCAGGCCTTCTTTCCTCATTTTGTGACCCTAGAATTTCGACTGTCTCTGATTTTAAGCATATGCTTCCTTGTTGTTTTTATTTCCCTTAAGATCTCCTCACATGTTCTGTTCATAATAGTCTTAGCATTCGCCGATGGAATCACATCTCTGTCGCTTCAAGTGTCATTTTCACTTGTGCAGAAATTGTCCAGCATTCACTAGCACTTCGGAGTTTAGACATTAAATAACAGTTCAGCATTTATTTTCTTTGTTTTTAACAATATTTTTCTATCATTTTTTTTTCTATACTTTTAATTTTGATCGACGATGAAAAATGCCTTAGTCCTTAAAAGAGCTGTACCTATTCCAGATCTATAAGTGATTTTGTTGTTTGATGTTTTGAATTAATATAGATAACTTCTAAAATTTGTAATCATTGTTTAAAATTGAATCATGTGTTATCGTATGAGTCTATGGTACAGAGTTGGGGTTGTATATCTGTTTCTTTTTTTCTTCTTTCCATAGATATAACCTCCAAGTAAGTTTGTAAACAATACCAGTTAAACACCCAGTGAGGATCGAATAAATAACATAACATCAAATAAAGAAATAAACACACATGCATATACACCTGTTTCTTAATCATTTCTCCATGGTGTGGCGTGATAAGTTTTAATCAGTTTAATCAGTTTATCAAGGCCTCCAAAAACGATAAAATATGGTCTCAAAATAAACAAGCTGGTGATCACGTATGGTATATCCATATCAAATACTGTTTACAGTTAACTTTTAATTGTTAGAAGGGAGCGTATATATGGGTTTTATGAATGTGCCTGTTTCCTGCTATTTTTTGACTGAAAAAACCGTAAGCGTCAATTGGCAAAGGCATTGCTTTCTTTTATCTGTCTTTGTTGATTGCGCCATGGCACTGGGAAAATGTTTTGGAGTTCAAACGCAGTCACCGGCAACTAATGAGTCTATAGCGCATTGACTACAAAGAAAATACACTTTACGGGAAAATAAATTGGTATCGAATAAGCTTGTAGTGAAAGACAATCACAAAAAGTCAATAAGACCTGAATGAAAACGGCTTATTTATTTAGATTTGCTGTTTGCCTTCAAAGTTGTGCATGTAATGTTTCTTGCAGTTACATAATTTCAATTTGTGTTTCTCCTGGAAAATTGCGAGTGGCCATTGGGTATATTTAGTATATGTGTGTGTTTGTGAGCGCGTGTAGAGGGTGCTTTTGTGTATGTATAGACGTATGTACACGCAAACATATATATATATATATATATATATATATATAAAAAGATACAGTTATACACACACATATATATATGTATACATACGTATGTATGATATAATATACATATATAAGTATGTATTTATGTGTATGTATCTATATGTATGTAGTTATACATTTCGGCGCAATTGCATGTACATATATGTATTATTTCCACATGGATATGAACGGGCTAAGTGAACATAAATAAACTGGAAGAAAGAAGAAAGAAAAAAGAGAAAGATTGATATAAACAAAATAGAGATAGGAACAGAATCAGAGTTGAAGAAAATCTGTCCGCCTCTGCTTATTTGTTTTATTAATATGTGTTTGGTGTTGTAGGGTTTAGATAGATAGATAGATAGATAGATAGATAGATAGATAGATAGATAGATAGATAATGAACAGCCATAGATAGATAGATAGATAGATAGATAGAGAGATAGATAGATAATGAACAGCTAGATAGATAGATAGATAGATAGATAGATAGATAGATAGATAGATAATGAACAGCTATATATATATATATATATATATATATATAGATAGATAGATAGATAGATAGATAGATAGATAGATAGATAATGAACAGCTAATAGATAGATAGATAAATAGATAGATAGATAGATAGATAGATAGATAGATAGATAAATGAACAGAGATAGATAGATAGATAGATAGATAGATAGATAGATAGATAATGAATAGATAGATAATAGAACAGCTAATAGATAGATAGATAGATAGATAGATAGATAGATAGATAGATAGATAGATGAACAGCCATAGATAGATAGAGAGATAGATAGATAATGAATAATATACAGATATATAGATAGATAGATAGATAGATAGATAGATAATGAACAGCTATATATATGTATATAGATAGATAGATAGATAGATAGATAGATAGATAGATAATGAACAGCTAATAGATAGATAGATAGATAGATAGATAGATAGATAATGAACAGCGATAGATAGATAGATAGATAGATAGATAGATAGATAGATAGATAGATAATGAACAGCCATAGATAGATAGATAGATAGATAGATAGATAGATAGATAGATAGATAGATAGATAGATACGATTGACAAAAATAACTATCTACTAATTCCAAAATAAATAATTTATTGTATTCTTTACATACGTGTCTAGTAAGTATTTATATCAGCGAAATTACCGAATTAATTATTAGGATCAAATAAAAGTATTTCAATTTATACAGACCTTTACTCCAAAGTTTATTTCACGCACACATCTCATTACTGACGATGCTTATTATTATTATTATTTTAAAAATGTCTTTTTGAGATGCGTTTCTTTTTGCTCTATTTTTATTTACTTCGATTATCAAAAACCATCTCAGAAATGTTTTTGTCACTTGCTACGCTCATGTCAATCAGTGTACAAACATTTTCTTTTCTGTCTTTGATACTAATGTCTGGGCGATTTGCTTATATTGTTCGATCTGTGTTGATAGAAAAATCACAGAGAATGGTAACATCCCTCAACTACAGATTCAGGATGATATCCACATCAATTTGCACCCTTTTTTTTATCTCGTAGTGATGACGGATCTTTCAATGTAGATATGATGATTTTTGTATTCATTGGGTGTGGTATTGAGCATCTGAGAGAAGGTTATCAAATAGTTTCAATGTATTAGTCACAGAACCTATAGTTTATGTCCCTCATATTGTACCAGCTCTGATTTTGGACAGAAAGAATAAACACTTAAGTCCCATCTTTAAGTCCTGAACTCCTTAGCCAATTTCGGGATGCGAATTGAATCAGCATTTTTGCTTAGAAGTCATTTGGCTTCATATTTTTCTATTTGTGTTTAGCTTAGTTTATTATTATTATTATTATTATTATTATTATTATTATTATTATTATTATGTTCTCCTTCGATTTCTGTTGCGTACTCATTTCTTTCCGGATCCCAAATACAGAATTAGGTCATAAACGACATCAAGATGATTTCAATGAACATTTTTGAAGCAACGAACACATAGATTTTACATTGAAAATCCCTTCATAATGTGTGAACACGTGTTTTTTTTTATTTCTTTAAGGCATAGGCTACCAGGAATCCCTTCAATGAGTCTATCAGAACCTTTTATTATGATGATTATCATTATGATTATTTCCATTGATTTCTGTTGTATACACATTTCCTTCCGGGTCCCAATCAGAGGCCTAAAGTCAGAAATGGCTTCATTATATTTTCCACTGATCATTATTGTAAAAAAAAAACTAAAATCACACGCATTTTACATAGATAAAGCTCTTCGTAATGTGTGATCTATACTTGTGAGTACAATATTTTGTATTTCTTTAAGGAAATCTACCAGGAATTCCTTCAGTGAGTCGAAACCTTTTCCAATCAATTCGAAGGCTCCAACTACAACTGGAATTATTAATGTCCTCAAGTGACACGTTTTTTTTAGATTTCCACTTCAAGATCCTTGTATTTTGATAGTTATTTTAATATCTTCAAAGATACATTACAATCTGCAAAGGCCGCCATGTCAATAAGAAAAAAACATTCTGTTTTGGTGGTCTTTGATCACGATGTCTTCAGGTTTAGCTTTGATTCTTCTGCCTGTATATATTATAAAAGTTTCAGATTTTCCAGTGTATTTAGAGGCCCACTCTATGATGCCGAATTTTATATTCAGTTGGTACTAACATCGTACAACCTGATACAAATTATCATTACTATTATTTTTATCAAAATTGGACATTTTGTTTCAGATATTATAATGGCGGATTCTGACAATTTGTCGCTGCTATATTTGACTGTGTCTCAAGCCACTGAAT